AATGTCCTTGTTCTGAATAACTGGCACCCCTCCCTTGTCAGCATGGACTACAAAATCTTGGCCAGAACAAATTCTTTCCACTTTGACACTGATCATACTATTCACCCTGATCTGTCCAACATGATCTAGTCCAGGCTGTGTCAATGTTTATCTGGTCCAGGACACGACCTAGCTTTCCCAAGGGACTGGTCTGTCAGTGACTATTCTGATTCGTCAATCAAGGGAAGGTTATTGATATTGATATGCATTACAATATTTATTTGGACATCTGCAAGCATTTGGGTTTGAGGAGGAATTTGTGGCCATGATCAGTCTTCTGTATGTCACTGCAGAGCAGTAAGAAGCAACAAATGAGCACATTCTTGCCCTTATTAACAATGACTAATGATGCCCGAGGAACATCTTCACTACGATCCAGGGCGGGGGACTAATCAATATAAGCCTTACAAACTTCAACTTCCTCTAATTTGAGGATTTTCCATACAACTGATGCAAGGCTGATGGGTCTGTGGTTGCTGATTTGTTCCCTTGCTTCTTTCTTACATAGTGGAATGACATTACTTCTCTCAAAGAATCCATGGAATTCGCTAATTCAGAGTAGTCGATGCCATAATAGAATAAATCGTGGCCACAGAAATGCCTATAGAGTTCCCGATCACTACCACCCGGCTACAGTTCAACACTCCCTGCTGTACAGAGCCAATCTTGGTACCACTGATCAGGTTGCTGCTACTCCTTTCCCATAAGAGGCCATCTACCCCTCCCCCACCACCCAAAAGCAGTATATCCACGGGAGGGGAATGGCCACAGGGGACTGCTGCATTGCCTATGCAGGCTTCCAAGTCTTCCTGGTAGTTACCTGATGTTTGTCTGCCTGTGTAGCCCTTACTTATGTTATGGTCAGCTTACTAAATGTGCTACCCATGACATTCTCAGTCTTGTGGATCTCCATAGTGAGTCCACTCACAGCTCCAGGTGCTCCATGCAGCAAATCAGGAGCTGTAGCTGAATACACCTCACCATAAACACTGGAACTGTACGTGATTTCCCACAAATTGCAGGAAGAGCATTCCACGCAACCAAGTTCTCCTACCACTGTGAATCCTTAGAAGCTACAAATAATAAACTAGGAACCAATTACAAAACCTTACCCATTACTCACCAAAATCAGATTTCTCTCTCTCTCTCTGTTCCTAACAAACTACAAACCACAAAAATAAGTGCTTCATACTGTATCTTCCTCTAGACAGTACTAATTCAATCTCTAGACCAGATTTCTGAGCAGCCCAATCCTGTATCACTTTTTGAACCCCAGCATCCAGAGCGGTCTCTTTGGACTCTGCTCCTGCTGCCACTGACTGGCCTTGATCCAGGCCCTGCTTTGATTGACTGATTAGTCAATATCTTCCACTTTGTATAACTGTCGAAACTTTTGCATTTGCTTTTCATTCTTCTGCTAGATTGCATTCATATTCCATTCTTCCTTTGCTTATCAGTTCCCTTGGTCCTCCCTTACTGTGTTCTAAAAAAAACTTCGCAACTTTCAAATTTGTTACCTTTTCTGGCCACTTGGTATGCCTTTTCTTTTAGCCATATACAATGCTGAACTACTTTTGTCAACTGAAGTTGACGACCTCTGAATTGCTTCACCTTGACAGACCGTATAGTTACTTTAAGTCATACAATAGCTCTTTAAAGACCATCCATTTTCTGTGTATAGTGATACTTCATGTATTTTCCCAATCCAACTATCAATCTGTATCTCATACTTACGTAAATTCCCTTATATAAAAATTTATCACCCATTGCTTCACAGTGAATTACCTAACTTTCTAACAAAATATAAAAGATCAAAGACTTTGGGGCATAATCAATTCAAAGAACCTCAAATATACATGAACTTACTGGACACTAACTCATTTGAATCAATTCTAATATCTTAGAATTTTGAATGCTCATTATCCTCCTGATCCCACATTGTTCTACTTTCTTTTGATCCTCTATCTTCTAGATATACGGTTCATTCTGACATTTTCCTGTGGTCAGCTTAATCTTTCAATGAAATGAATCCTTAACTGGACTCTCCTCTTTGGCAGATACTTTCTTACATCTATGATTTCTAATGCCCTCAACTGCTTTGACAATTTCAGGTTCTCAACAATGCATCACCTGCAGCTCCAATCCACTCCAAAGACAGGATTCCATTTCTTTCTTCAATAAATGTTTAACCATTCTCCATCTTGAAGTTGCCCTTCCACTCAACCAAACATCATCTCAATCTAAACACGTTTTCCTTCATATAATTGCACATGCTTCCTCCAGAGCACAGGTACTGGCTTGGAATACCCGTCATCAAAATCATGTTTGCCCATCATTTGCATTAGATGTAAAACAATGATTGAATGAAGAGGTGGTAACTGAGAGACATTGAATGACCTCAGTAGCAAATGGTCCCGCTTTTACGCTTGTCAATTCAAAGTCTTCATTTGAGTGTGTTTCCAATTTTCACCTATGGCCCATTTCTGTCTATTCCTTTAATATGAGCAAAGATGTCTGCATTGTTAGGCAATTGAATTGTTAAACGTTTTCCACCATAAGCCTCATTTTCCTTTTTCCTTCTTCAAAATCTAATTTTTTTTGAGGGCTACTGTGGAGTCCACATCCACCAGACAATGTCAAAACTCTCATACTTTAGGTCTGAGTTCCTTTTGTAAATCGTTAAACCTGTGCCCTTTAGTTATTGATTCTTCAGGCTTTCGGAATGAATCCTCAATTAAAATTGAGGTAGCCTTCCTGAAAATTGAAACTTTTAAACTGTTATGTCAAACGACTCAGAAAATCACAGGCTCCCAAAAGGAATCCTGGACCTGGGTTCCTTCAGCCATTTTTTGCTTTAAAAAAATAGTAGATATTGAAACACCTGTGCAGTACTGCACATGCTTAACTGAAAAAGCTTGCAAATAAAATCAATAAAGGAAATATGGGAGAGTTACATACTTTAGGACCTTCCAAACCAGAAACAAACTTTGAAACACTGTACATTTCTGAACGTGTATAATGATAAACAAAATGGCTGTTAAAATAAAATCTATACATGCGCTAATGCTGGAAACGTTTTTAAAAAAAGTTTCACTCACAAACAAAACTGAAAATTGCGGAAAAAACTCAGTAGGTCTGGTACCATCTTCAGAGAGAAAGTAGAGTTAAAGCTTTGGGTCCAGCGATTCTCCTTCAGAACTCACATTCACCAACTGAAGTTTAGCTTGACCAGCTCCATACTGCGGCAGAATTTGGTCCATGCAGGTAGCGACTTCACAGGGTCAGAGGCAGGAAACAGAAACTTTGGCCCAACTCATCCATGCTGACCAGATATCTAAAACTGATCTAGTCCCATTTGCCTGCATTTGGCCCATATCTCTCTAAACACTTTCTATTCATGTAACCATTCAGATGCCTTTTAAATGTTGTAATTGTACCAGCCTTCACCACTTGCTGTGGCAGCTTGTTCCATACACTAACCACCCTCTGTGAAAAACTTATCCCTCAGGTCCCTTTTGAATTTTTCCCCTCCCACCTTAAATCAGTACCCTCTAGTTTTGGATTCCCCTACCCTAGGAAAAAGAACTTGGTTATTTATTTTGTCCATGCTCCTCATGATTTTATAAACCTCAAAGGTCATCCCTCAGCCTCCGATCCTCCACGGAAAAAAAGCCCCAACCTATCCTCCCTATAGCTCAAACCCCGAATGAACGCCATCTTCAAGTTTGCTGATGACACCACCACGGCAGGGCAGATATCAAACAAAGAGTCAGAATACAGAAAGGAGATAGAGGTCTCATTGGCTTGGTGCAATGATAACAACCTCTCTCTCAATGTCATCAGAACTAAAAAATTGATCATTGACTTCAGAAAGATAAGAGGAAGGTCACATAAGCAAGCAGGCTACAGAATAGGAAGTCTGTCACAAATGATGATCAAGTGAAACTGATAACATTAAATGGATATACTGACACTGCTTAATCAACGATATTAAAGTGAAACAACATTAAGTGAGTCAACATTTCACAGTAACTTATAGCGCAACTCGCATGGCTGAGAATATCCTCTTTCATCTTTCCAGAGGGAGATGGAATTGATTTGCCCTTTCCGATTACTCTTTCTAGAAGGAGACCAGAAAAGGTAAAAGCAAACAAAAAAGACTGAAATCAGTTTGTGTTTTACTTTTCTATTGTATTGAACGAATGCTGAAGTAAGTAATCAACCCCTCTACTCAGACTGACTTTTCTTCTAGACAAAGGAGAGAACAATAACATTTGAGGTATTTAAGTGCTTAGTAGTCAAGCTAGCAATCATTTTCCTCATGCTCATTACTTTTGCAAGCTTCGCATCACAATTAACGTGATAAACAAGGGTGAGGAACACTCACTTTGACTGACAAAATGAAATATTTAAGATGTGGTTTCAAGGTAAACTGTTTTAGGCCCTGTTGATCTATCTAACCCAAAGGCAAAATAATTCATGAATATTGAGCTGCATAAACAAAAGATACTGGGGAAAAAAAAATCTGAGATACACATGTAATACCTCAATATCAAAAAAAAGGATATCACATGTTGTTGGTACGACAAACTTTTTTTCAAGACCATAATTTCAAAAATCCATCTTTGCAGTTTCACTGGCTTAAAACAATTACATAATGTTGCACAAGAGAACAATCCAAGAAACTATGTGGGCCAAGTTGCACAAGATGCTACAAAAACAGGTGCTAAGCTGCCAAAACAGTTTAAAACATTATAATCAGTTTCCATGAGCTGTTATATGTTCAACATTGGTAACCAAATAGCAGGACTTGCCCAAATATTGACAGGCTGTATGATCTAACGACATTTATATTTCAATAATTGATTTCTTCATGCAAGCAATATCTTACTTTTAAGCAAACAAACAAAAGCAAAACATAAATGTTGCAACATTTAGATTTAATAAATAAAGCAGAGTACTGTACCTGGATCAATGAGAACTTCCTGTGCCCCTAGAAGTGGGAACAAACAATTGTCTTTCACTCCCTTTGCACACTCATTTTAAAAGAAAATCATTGATTAGATTAAATGACAATGTACTTGCAGGTGATGCCTTAAAATGATCTATGAAACATCTCCTCCTACCTTTCTTGGCACTCCTAACCATAACCTGCCATCACAGTTCAAAAATCAAGTTGCCTTCTTACAGAAGCACAAATTTGCTGAACTTTTAAAAAGATTAAAAGCAGCAAGACTTCAGAAAATTTAAACTGCCATAGTTGTGGCCTTTCCCCAGGTTGTTTTACCCTTTATCCAAATGCAATATGTGCACGTACAGACGAGTTGTACAAGACAAAGCCAAGAGATATAGTCCACCAATTCTCTCTGGCATAAGTGACTTAATTCAAAGCAGCTTGACCAGCTCAGATCAAAAGTTGAAGTAATTTGGACAATCTCAAATCAGCACCAACTGGACATGATTTCAGTGCATAAGTTACCATAGTTCACAAAAGTGACACACCCACAAGGGTAAAAACAATAACAAAAACAGAAGTTGCTGGAAAAGCTCAGCAGGTCTGGCAGCATCTGTGAAGAAAAAAAAAATCAGAGTTGACATTTCAGGTCCTGTAACTCCTCCTGAGTTCTGAAACGTCAACTGATTTTTTTTTTCTTCACAGATGCTGTCACACCTGCTGAGCTTTACCAGCAACTTCTGTTTTTGTTCCTGATTTACAGCATCCACAGTTCTTTCGGTTTTTGTTGAGTAAAAACATTGTTCGTTTTAGCAAGTGAAGTAGAGGGCACCTCACTGAAGTTAAGATTATTGGCTCAGAGTAAAAGGAAACTTTATTCATCTCCACCATCTACAAATGCTTGGTTGGTATCCATTATACTTACCTAATATAAAGGTTTGCAAAAGCATCATACTGATGTTGAAACATAATGAAATATACATAAATTCTAGAAACACTATGGTCAGGACACGTGAAGTGAGGATTCAGGTTTTGGGGCGATGCATTTGCATCGAAATAAGCAAAACCGACAAAAAAAGTTCAGGCAGGGATGGCCATCTCAAATAATAAGAAAAGAAATCCTTAAGGCATTGAGCGTATTTCTTCATTTAGGGGAAATGAAATAATTAACCTTGAAAAATATTCTACAAATTCCAAAATATAATAAGATCACAAATGGAAAACAGCAGGCAAAATGAGGGCAGGAATCAAGACAGGCAAACAAGAGGAAGCAAATCCCAGCTAGAAACTGAAGGAGTGAGACAGGCCAAGCAAAAAGCAACGGCCAAAAGCATTAAAATTTACAAATTGTACCTGCACACAAACGGCAAGAATTGAAAGCCGAGCAAACTGTAAAATGAGAAATTATTATGTAATGGCAGACGCATTGATTTACACCATATCAATGGGAGATTTACAACTACACTAATGAATAGATCAGTTGCTTTCCTTCCCCAACCCCATTGAAACATTGTCAAACCTTCTGCATTACAAAACATTGCCACAAAGTAATTAACATAATCCTGACCCTCCAAGGGAGCAATTTATACCACCAATGTTTGCAGAATCCATCTAACTGATCCGCTAATCTTATGAAGATCAATGATGAATCAAAGGGATGCTTTTTATAAGCCAACATCCTTTCACCACTACCCAGTATTTTACTGAGCAATTTCAGTTTTCATAAATTCACTGTTACCCAAAACAGCAAAATTACATCAGTAAACCTGGGACCAAAGGGAATTGTTGGCAACCCATTAGAGTAACAACAATAAAATCCCTCAACAAAGCAAAATTTGTACCCACTAAGCATATTCTAACATTACAACTAATATCAATTGTGGTAAAATTGGCTTCTTAGCTAACAACTCTGGAAGTTTGCTACATATGGTTCATGTTTAGCAACTTTACACCTGATACTATGCAGCTATTAACAGTGAATGCTGACCCATCTTTGGGATTTAGAGGCATGCAATTGATGCTTGCAACTGTCCATGATTAAATGTCAACTGTTTTAATCTGTGCTGGCCCACAAAATGCAGTGGTTCAATTCCTGTATCAGAATGAACACTGTTAAACAACAGTGTCTCATTCAGCTACTACTGCCAAAGACTGTTGTTCACAAATGATGTGTCAATAGGTGGAGCTGATATGGTGTATGAGCTAATACACTACCTAGATTGCTCAATTCTGTATTGTATAATGACTTTATCAGTGCACATTTTCCAAAATTACACTGACGCAAGTTTGTACAGTATAAGGGAACTGCTCGGGCTAACATTGTGTTTGTTTTGTAGAGGATTCACACGTACATTCCTTAGATTAGGATAGTTGTACTAATTGGAACATCATTACTGCAGAGATGATATAACTGAGTACAGGTTGCGTATCAGTGATCTGCATTTGAACAGCTCAGTTACTCGACAACTAAATTTACTGAGCCAAACAAGGCAGAGTAAAGAAATGAGAAAAGATCCGCTTACATTTCTTGTGAGCTTACCTCAAGTATTTCATTGATGTACCATTTTCTACACTTTTTGACAGTTAGATCATCATTTAGGGCAAGTGTGCTTTGCCAGTTGGGCCAGCATTTCTTGTCCATCATTAATTGCCTGGGCAAGTTGGCAATGAATTGCTTCTTGACCTGCAGCAGTCCCTTTAGTGTAGCTTACCTGGAGGGTGGTCCAGGGTTATAACCCAGTGACACAAATGGAACAGCAATCCATTTAAATCAGAATGATGAGTAGATTAGAGAAGAAATTACACATGTGGCATTATTACATTTCTGCTGCATTTGGCTTATAGATGGGATGCAAAAGTGCAATCCAAGGTGTTGCCGTTAATTTTTTCAGTGCATCTTGCAGATAGTACACACTGCTGGTGAGAGAGAAAGTCAGCAGTACAAAGCAGGAGATTGCCGTGTTCATGTTTGACCTAATACCATGATATTTCACGAGGTCCAGAGTCAGACGCAAACTCAATGTTTCAGTCTCCCGGGTGACTCCTCCCAATTGTAAACCACTGCACCACCACGTGTGCAGTGTAGATGCTGGTGTCTGTGACATTATCTGTAAAGGTACAACTCCATCAGTTGTTGTCTAGACTGTGAGACAGTTCTCCCAATTTTGACACTAGCCACCAGATGTTACTAAGGAGGAATTTGCAGGGTCAGCCAGGTTGAGTTTGCCATTGTGCTTTCTGGTGCTAGGCCATTTCAGAGAGCAATCAAGAGTCAATGACATAGTTGAGGGTCTGGCGTAGCGTGTAGGCTAAACCAGGAAAGGTCAGCAGATTTCCTATCTAAAGAGGGCAAAATTGCAACAATGGTCTCATTTCTCTAATCCCAGATGAGATTCAAACCCAGATCTCCAGAGCACGACTATATCTCTGGATTATTAGTTGCATGTCAACAAACTACTCAATTGCCTCCCTTGTATCAATGCATCGATCCTGATTTAGCATATTCTTGTTTTTTTTTAGGACATAACAGTTTGGTTTCTTGATTCATGAAGTTCCTTCATCTAATATATACTCCAATTTACCAATTTCAAATGCTCCACATTGACCAATGTGTTTCCGAGCAAACTATGAGCATTTGTTCAATGTGAACTTTGTTGTAATGACAAGTACTGCATAAATAAATTTATCAGTGTCTGATTTCATAGCGATACATAGAATCAAGGATATAAATTAACTGATGCCAAACTATTTGTACTCTGCTTAATTTATTCTCCAAAATCTAACAACTATATGTTCAGGTTCTAACTCAAACAGCAAAAAGAATTGTAATGGATTGAAAAATAGTGATTACACAGATGCTTCAGAAAAGATAGCCAGAATTAACTCAGCATAATTGACAAACAAGCAACTTCCAGAAACAGACAGAATATATTTGCAAACTGAAAACAATGCTTTTTACTTACCATGTCGATGTCGCTTGCCAGCCTCAGATGGCAAACACATATTATTAGCTCTGCGAATTGAAGGTTTTGACCCAGTACCACTTGGATAATGGTAAATTACTGAAGCTGAGCACAAACCCTCCAGTGCACCTGAAGACAAAAGGAGCTTTTGTTGATTTGAGACTACAAAACCCAAACAGACGGAACATAGCATTATGTGCCAGTTACATCCAGGATAAAGAAACTATGCACAATGAAGAAACAAATATAAAATCAAACGAATAATACTATGGAATATGGAACAAATTTCACTCGTTAGAAAAAAAATGGATATTCTGAAATTTAGCTTTACACAACACTGAATAAAAATCACAATTTTCATTCAATCCACAAGTAAATGACTTCTCATTCTCATTTTAACCTCCACCGCCCTTAGTTCCGGTGACAGACAAGGCGTATCTAAATCACTTCACTGTACCAGTCATCATTTATATGCCCCTTCCCTGCCCAACCCTACTTCATCTTGCATCCATCTGTAGAAAGGCCATCTAGCAAATTCACTTAACTTCACTTTCTTCTCCGAGCAAACCTTTGATTATCTTACTGACAATCTTCTTTCCAGACTTATAGACACACAGTGTCCAATAATTTCAGCTCAAATTCTTGTACCCATTTCCTTTCCTAGTTTTGTTTTGTTTACTTTCAGGCAACTATGCACTTGCTTCTATGCTCTTTTCCTTGCCTCATCACATTCGTCCATGGGGACAAACCTTGCTATCCTTCAATTTCTTCTGTCTTTCATCTTATCACAGACTTTATTTTTATCCTTGCCCTTGCTCAAAACCTATTACTTCTCTAACTTTTTCCAGTTCCAAATGATCATAGGTGTCACAAATCAGCTGTTTTTCCCTCTGCACAGATGCTGCCAAAACAGTTCTTTCCAGAAATTTTCAACATATTTGTTTTAATATTTTATATGGCTTAGCATCAGCATCAGCATCATATTATAATGCTCCTGTGAAGTGCTTAGCAACTTTTCATTCTTTTAAAGGCACTAGATAAACTAAGTGATAACAGTTGCCATTAGAAATCTACAATGCTCACTTGTCTGTTACACATTATATTGTCAATTAATCAATTTGAAATAAAAGCAAACAGCATCCACTAACTAGATCAAACATTTCCTGAAAGACTTCCAGTAGTCTGAGCAAGAACAGGTTGCCCCTTCTGAGCCTATCCTGACTTTTGTAGTCAGTCCGCAAAAATTCATCATTTTAGTTTCAAAATAACTCTCCATAATTATGTTCACAGATTTATAATTACAATCTATCCTTTGCCCTTTTTATTAAAACTGGGGTCGTGGGTAGAGGTTGGGAGGATGAGGAGATATTTGTTGCTTTTCAATGCACGGGGGTGTTACCCAATTCTTATCTACTTTAAAAGAGAATGGTAACTGAATCATATTGATATCAAACAATATGCAATCTTTGTAATGACGTTTATGTTTCTGTTTCAATCTGTTGTTTCCCACATTTTTTCAATTAATTTCCCCAGTGGAGGAACAGAAGCATTCACAAAATGCATTATGTCAATCCTGCACTTCCCTCATTATTGGCAACAGTTAAATGCTCTTTGTAAAAGTAGTTCAAAAAATGTTAACTTTAAAAAAAAAAAAAAATCCATGGCCACTTTTCTCCACGATTAAAGTTGTTTTCTTTAACAAAAAACACCATTATCATACTTCAAACGTTCATTTCAGCTCCAACCAGAGTGGACAACTAGCAATGACACGTTCGAGGCACAGTCATTTGCAATTTACACCTGGATTAATTTAATGCTTATACACCTAAACAAGACTCACCTCCCAACCAGAGAAAGTCATTCACAGATCGAAGAAGTTCGACAGCCATATGGTAATGCACAAGAGCATCTTGCAGCATGCCTGCTTGCAAACAAAGGTCACCGACATGTTTCCGCATTCTGCCCTGGCAACGCTTCTTATAATGTCTATAGCATAAAATGGAATAATTGTTGGAGCAATATGGTTTCAGTATATATGTAGTTTGTACAAGTTTAACGTTTACCTGCTCACACCTAAATTATAACCTTGGACTTTTTGAATTTTATTTTTCACATTGCCATTTTGGTATTCTTTCCTCTGTAGATTATCGTGTTTCTGATAACTTAATTTTTAAAAGTAGTTTATATGCATATTAGATTCCAATTAACACTGCACTATTAAATCTCATCTGCGAACACAAGACCACTAACCTGTGATCACGAGGCTCTCATCCCAACAGATACAAACATAGGCTAACATTGAACATATCTTGTCAGTTAGTTTTCCATTTATCCAGATTCGGACAAAGAAAAAAAATTGAATTGTAATCTAATGTCAATAATTCACTAGATGATATGTGGTTTTCAACATTTTTGCATCTCCAGTTCAAATAGTTTATATTGCAACATACACTGAAATAAAATGCAGACATAGACAAAACAATTGGTCTTCTCAGTAAGAAAGTTCACAAGACAAATATCTTCACATTGTTAATTGTTTTCAAACAAAAAAAAAAAAATTCACAAGGCTAGGAAATTATTTTGTCTGAACATTGAGCATAATTCGGAAAAAACATCCTACTTCAAGTCTACATAGTGAATGTTCCCAAGGACATTGGGTTTTACCACCAAAACAAAGTCTGTAGAAATCGGTTTTGGATCTCCCACGTGAATACCCCACAGTTGTTAAAAAGAAGCAAAAATTTGCAGGACAGTGAATTTTAATTCAGCCAGATGTGAATTATAATTAGAACCATGCAATGGACAACATTTGCTCAATTTTCAAAGTTACATGCTTCAGCAGTTCCATTTGATATGTTACACGTATTGACTGGAGACAGACACCACACACCTTGTTCATTATTGCATTAAATTTCTAAAGCCAGGTTTCAAAGCTAAGTGCAAACTTAACAGCCAAAAAAAAAAAGACAGTACTACTAGCAGGGTGGAATTATCCTTAAAAGGAGCAGTTCAGCGGTGACTGTATGATACAGCACATTTCATTTAATAGGAATACATTTTGATTTAACATCTCAGCATCTGTACAATAAAATCCTTACGAACCAGAACTGAACTTTAGAACATCAGAACCAATTAAACTGAGCACCATACTTCTTTTTATCTTGATTTATGAAAACAGAATAATCTTCAAATGAAATAAGCTAAAAGCTATTGTAAACAATTGTACACAGGCATTTTAACAAGAATCACTGCAGCATTTCAGCATTCCAGCATTCACCAAAGGGTACAAAAAAAAAATCAAATTGGCAAGTTGCAATTAAAACCACAAAGCTTTGCAAATCTCTCTGCATGTCAAAGAAACTTGGAATGGATCACGTTCGTTTCAAGAAAACAAACAGCACATCTGGTCTTTTAATTGTTGTAAACCACAGAAATTGCATTAAACCACAATAGCCTGAAATGTGATAAGATATCAATATCAGTCATCAAATCATCTTTCTCTATTTCAGTGCTAGTATTAAATAGATGTAGACAAAATTGGTCAACACCTCCACTTCAAATAGTGGAGACAGAAATTTGAGAACCTTGTTAATTTTCAAAACTGATACCAGAGTAGAATCACAAGAACAAAATCCAAAATTATTTTATAACAACAAATTAGGTCCAACTTTAATCAACTGTCCTTTGTCATTACAGAAATGGCAATATGCAAGTGTTATTTCAAGTTCAATCAAACTGCAACAAGTAAAGGGGAAGTCACCACAGTCATGCAACCTGTTAATCCCTAGTGTGCTTAAATACAGTCACCACCAAATCCTTTAAGCGTTCTATGAAATCAAGGCAGTTTCAGAACCAGTTTGACAGAATGGTTCTGTTTTGCATTAAATTCAAAGAGCTGCAAAATAAAATCTGCTGGTATGGGATATTCCTTTGTATAAATGGGTTAGTCTAATAGTTTAAAAGGAACTAATATTACACATTTGAAAACATTTTAAATCAGGCAGGAGTATAGCAGATGGGAGCATGAGTTTTTCATTGAAGACTGCAGCTCACCTTTTTACACCCAATAATAAACTCAAAGGACAGTGTTAGGAAAAAAAAAGGAAACAGCAATAAGAAATAATGAAAAAATTTCACAATAAAATTTAGAAAACTTCTAACATTTCCTTTATATCGCTATTTTTTCCTCACACAATTTACATAAAGATGGGAAAAGAAATAAGTAATAGTCTTGCATTAAGAAAAGGTCACAAATGGTAAAGTAACTAGCTCGTTAAAATAAAGCTTCACAGATTGAGTTTTCCTATTGCTGATTTTCCGATCACCCAATATTCTGCAAGCACATTTATAAAAGCTAACTCTCCACAATTCAACCTTTCGATTCCTGTGACAATAAGTAAAATTGAAATTTATTGAATAAACCCATATTTACTGTAGCTAAGGCTTGGATTCTGAAATGCTTCATTTAATTATTTTTGAACCACAGTTATTTTGTCAGCAGATACAATGTGCGCACACACTTCTTCCGCAAGGAAGAAGTAGTCAAAGTAAGTAGGCATGTAAGGTTGGCAAACTTGGAAGTAATGGTGCACTACAGGGATGACTGCAGGGGCCTCAATTACCTCCACTTGAAAGGTCACAACTTAGTTAACCAGTCTGATCATGTTTGCTGATGATATGGAGGTTGGAAAGTAGTTCCAAAGTGGGTATAAAGTGTCCATAAGGATATCAAAATTGAGAAATGGCAAAAAGTTTATCACATGCAGTCAAGTATGATGTCTACTTTGACAGTAGGAAAAAGAATATTATTCAAATCAAGAGACACTGCAAATGCCGCAGTACAAAGGGATCTGGATATCTGTTGCATGCTCAAAGAGCACACTCTTGCTTGTACAGTTGTCAATCCTGCTGGCAAGATGGCTTCCTGAACTAAGTGCACCTCATGGCATAGGTCAGTTAACAAGAAACCAGGAAACATTACTTCAGTCTTATATTTCCATTCAACCATCCATTTTAATGAAAAAAATGCATGCACAGGATTTTCACTACATTATCCTTTATGCATACAATTGCTTTCACACTAGCAAAACAGTTTACTATTCTGTCTTGTCCATCTTTTACCAGTGTCTTTGCATGCAAAGCATGCAAGTAAGTAGTTGTCTTTCCACGATGAATCTCCTCATCAATAAAGGGTGTAGGAGCATTCTTAAAAAAGAAATCAGGAAGGCAAAGAGGTGGCATGAGATAGCATTGGCAAATTAGATTAAGGATAATCCAAAAATATTCTATAAATACATCAAGAGCAAGAGGGTAAAGATCAAAGATGCTGTCTTTGTGTTAAACCCCAGAAGATGGGAGAGGTACTAAATGAATATTTCACACCAGTTTTTACTGCAGAGAAAGAAATGGGGACTAGAGAATGCAGACAAATAAATTTTGATGTTTTAAAAACAGTTCACATTACAGAAGAGGAAATGCCAGAGGTCTTTGAAAGTATAAAGGTAGATAAATCTCCAGTACCTGATCTAATGTATCCCAGAATGTTGTGGCAAGTAAGAGAGGAAAATTGCAAGATCCCCTGCAGAAATACATGCATTGTCTATAACTACAGGTGAGCTGCCCGATGACTGGAAAAAGATTCTAAGGAGAAACTGGGGAACTATAAGCCGGAGTCCGACTTCGGTTGTAAGTATAAAAGATAGGATTTACAGATACTTAAAAAGGCAAAACTTGATTAGGCATTTGCAGCATGGTATTGGGAGAGGAAAATAGTGTCTCACAAACTTGATTGAGGTTTTTTGACGAAGTAACCAAAAAGATTAATGAAGGCAGAGCAGTAGATGTTGTTTACTTGGACTTTATTAAAGACTTTGACAAGGTTCCGCACAATAGACTAATTAATAAAGTTAGGTCACATGGGATTCAGGCTGAGCTTGCCAATTGAATATATAACTGGCTTACCGGCAGAAGACAGAGTGGTGATGGAGTGTTGATTTTCAGACTGGAGGCCTGTCACCAGAGGTGTTCCACAGGGATCAGTTCCAGGTGCTCTTTTGTTTGTTGTTTACATAAATAATTTCGATGAGAATATTGAAGGCATGGTTAGTAAGTTTGCAGACAACACCAAAATTGGTGGCAGGTAGACAGTGAAGGGTTTCAGGGACTACAAAGAGATCTTGATCAGCTGGGTCAATGGGCTGAAAAATGGCAGATCGAGTGCAATCTGGATAAATGTGAAGCATTACATTTTGGTATAACAAACAAGGATAGAGCTTTTACGGCAAATACTAGGGCGTTGGGTAGTATTGTGGAACAGAGGGAACTCACGGTTCAGGTACATAATTCTTTAAAGTTTGCTTCATATATAGACAGGATGGTTAAAAAGCTGTCTGGCAAGCTTGCGGTCATTGCTCCGTCCTTAGAGTATAGGAGTTGGGAAGTCATATTGAGGTTGTACGGGACATTGATGAATCCTCTTCTGGAATTTTATGTTCAGTTCTGGTCGCCGAGTTTTTGGAAGGATATTATCAAGCTGGAGAGGGTTCAGAAGAGAAGAGATTTACCAGGATGTTGTCAGGTATGGAAGGTTTGAGTTATAAAGAAACTGGCTAGGCTGGGACTTTTATTTTTAAAACTGGAACATAGGAGGTTGAGAGGTAACCTTATCAAAGTTTATAAAATAATGAGGGGTATATTAGAGTTAATGGTAGTTGTCTTTTCCCTCGGTTGGGGGATTTCAAGAATAGGGGCCATATTTTTAAGGTGAGAGAGAGAGATTTAAAAAAGACATGAAGGGCAAATTTTTCTACACAGAAGGTAGTTTGCATGTGGAATGAACTTCCTGAGGAAGTGGTAGATGTGGGTACAATTACAACATTTAAAAAGACATTTGGATAAGTACATGAATAGGAAAAGTTTGGAGGGACATGGGGTTATGTTCAGCATTGACTAGTTGGACGGAAGGGTCTGTTTTTGTTCAATGACTGTGACACTAGGACAACGGCTGGCGGAAATGGAGTTGAGTTAGTAAATCCGAAACTGAAAGTAGTCTTGTTAATGCTGGCTAGAAGCTACCATAGATTGTTGCAAAAACTCATCTACCTCATTCATGCCTTTTAGGGATGGACATGTTATCCTAAATGTGACTCTAGACCTATACCAATAATGTCCTGAGATGGCCTCGCAAGTCATTCAGCTTAAGGATAACTAAGAATAAGCATCAAACACTAGCCTTCCAAGCTAGGCCCATATTTCATTAAAGAAGAAAAAAAAAAATCAAATCCAAACCAAAACATTATTTTCCTTTAGACATGACATGGCCAATCTGCTTGAAGGCGTAGATTGAATTATCTAAATGTTCATCCAATAGTACTCACACTTGATTTGTAAAATAGTTATCCAATATCTCTTTGCAATTACCTCTGCAGTCTTCTTAGGCTTGTGTTCTTTCCAGCGAAACATTTAAAACATTGTGCACCCATGCAGGACATACATTCTTTTATTTTGTGTGATAACCACTGCAACTTTTTACAAATTGCCCTTCAGCCTTGATCTTTGTCCTCCTGTGGATAGTCATTGCTTTTCTTCAACTGAAAATTAGTCTAGACATTTCAAGTGCAACAGTATCATGACAGGTCTGAGCTACTCCTCCACATTGACGAACAGATAAGTTTGTCCACAATCTGTTAAAATTATGAACTCAGACACCCTGCAAATCATAGAATCCCTGCAGTGCGGACGCAGGCTATTGTGCCCATTGAATCCACATCAACCCTCCAAAAAGAGTATCCCACCCAGAATCACCCACTACCCTATCCCTGTAACCCTGCATTTCCCATGGATAATCCACCTAACCAGTACATCCCTGGACTCTACGGGCAATTTAGCATGGTCAATCCACCTAACGTGTACATCTTTGGACTGTGGGAGGAAACCAGAGCACTCAGAGCAAAGTCCACGCAGATACAGGGAGATTGTACAAACTCTATACAGTCACCTGAGGGTGGAATCAAACCGGGTCCCTGCTGCTGTGAGGCAGCACTGCTAACCACTGAGCCACCATGCAACTTTGAGTCAGATTCCTTATCCGTAGCAGTTGCACTGTAATAGGAGCATTATCTTAGGCTTATAAGATCCTATTTTCGATGAAACCATTTTTCAGGCAATCGAACTCCCAGTATTCTGCAAGCTGCGCAAATGCAGTCACACAATTATCAATATGTTCTTTATCCCATAGATCTCAAAGACTGAATTTATAAAGTTTAAGTTATGTGAACTTGGGTTCAAAGTATGCCTTGACAAAAGGTTTTCAAAGTTTCTGCGGTGTGTTCTGTTCTTCAGCGATTTAGGTTGAAATACACCTTGTAACAATTTCTCCCCACAGTGATACAATAGTGCTGACATTAGCTGTTCTGACATGTTAATTTTAATTGGTCACAAACTTATTGTTTTTCCACTCAATGGCAAAAGATAGCTCCATCTCATAGCATTTCATGTCAATCAAAGCCAGTAAATTTTCATAAGTAAATTATGAGCTGCGCTCATATTGCCGCTCTTCAACTCACTCTCAACCCTACTTCTGACACCATGTTATGTGTTCAATGAGATTTCAGCTTCTATTTGGTCTCTTTCCAAAGAACTGTTGGCAGAGAGTTTGCCTCACCGTGTAGGTGACAGGACAAGCCAGGAAGCACATTAGTGCAGTATTGTATTTCTATACAAACTATATCTTTGTACATGAGTCACCAAAAGTTAGCATGCAGGTACAGCAAATAATCTCAAAAGGCAAATGCTATGTTGGTTTTTATTGCTAAAGGGGAGGGGAGAGAAAAGAGATGTGATAAAATAGGGAAGTCTCGCTACAACTGTGGTCTTACTACTGTCCTTTTATGGGATGTGGAAATTACTTGCTAGACCAACGTTGACAAAATTGCCCTGATAGTGGTGACTAACTACCTTCCTGAATTGCTGCAGTCTGTAGGATATAGGGGCATCTACAGTGCTTTTAGCAAAGGAGTTCCAAGATTGACTCACTAACAGTCAAGGAACAGGGATATATTTCCAAATCAGGATAGCAAATAGTTTGCAGTGGGACTTGTAGTGGTGTTTCATCCATCGTCTGCCCTTGCTCCTCTTGGCGGCAGAGATCATGAATATGAAGGTATGACACCAGGAGCCTTGGTACGTTACTAGAGTGCCTATGTGCATCAATGTTGAAGGGAGTCAACATTGAAGGCAGGATGCCAATCCATTGGGCTGTACTGTCTGACATGGTATAGAGCTTCTTGCTGTTCTAGGACTGTGATCATCCAGGCAAGCAGGCAACATTCCATTAACATGACCCTGTCACTTGTAGATGGTGGACAGGCATTGGGGAGACAACAGGCAAGTTGTTCTGCACAGAATTTCTAACTTCTGACCTGCTCTTGCCCAGACAATATTTACATGGCTTGCCCAGTTTGGTTTCTGGTCAATGGTAACTCATAAGATATTGATAGTAGGAAATTCAGCAATATGTATGCCACTGAATGTCAAGTTGAGATTTTAAAATTATTTCTTGTTTGAGATGGCCATTGCCTGGCAATTGTGTGGCATGAATTTTACTTACTGGCACCTATCAGCCTCAACCTGGATATTATCCAAATCTTGCTGCACTTGGACACGGACAGCTTCAGTATTGGAGGCTTCCCAAATTGCGTTGAGCACTGCAACCATCAACAAACATCTCCACTCCAACCTTATGATGGAGGGAGGGTCATTAGCGACATCAGTGAAGATGGTTGGGCCTAGTACAGGCCTTATAGAACTCTTTTACTTACACCCTCTATCTGAGATGATTGACCTTAAATAATGAAACATGTCTCCCTTCAGGTTGTTCAGGCCCCCTGATGCTATATGTGGTCAAATGCTACCTTGATGTCAAGAGCCATCACTCTCATCTCATCCCTGGAATTGAGTTATTTTGTCAAGGGTTGGACCAAGACTGTAGTAAGGTCAGGAGCCAAGTGGACATGGTGGAACCCAAACTATGCATCAATGAGCGGGTTATTTCTTTGCAAGTATCATTATGTAATACTGTTGATGACCCCTTCCATCACCTTCTGACAATTTTGGTAATTAGCCAGTTTGGATTTGTCCTAGTTTTTAAACGGACAGGATGTGCTCACACAATTTACCAAATTGTCAGTCAGATAACAGTGTTGCAGCTGTATGTGAAGAGCTTGGCTGGGGCAGGGTTCATTCTGGAGCACAAGTCTTCAATATTATTGCCAGAACATTTGTACAAGGCACTGCATACTGCAATCTACAATTTTAGTGTCCTTACTTAGAGGGTATTGAAAACAAACAAGGACCACTAGGCTGATCTTTGGGATGATGGGGTTGTTTTATAAAAATGGTTGAGCAAACTATATCAAGGGACTTCAGAAAATCAAGAGGTGATCTTATTTAACTATCTGAAAGATCCTGAGGGAATTGAATCAGGAAGGTATTTATGGGAAATTTTCCCTTGCAAGGGAGTTTAGACCTACCAGAAAGTGCTTTTTTAAAAAAAAGTCTCCTACTTAAGACAAAGATGAGCAATTCCTTCTTTCAGAGGGTGGATACCCTTTGTAATTCTCTTTTGAGAGCAGGGGAGATTGGATCTTCAAATATATTCAACGCAAAGTTAGACAGGTGTTTGATTTATCAAAGACTTAAGGGTTTATGGGAAAGGCAGGCAGAAAAATAAAATTCAGGCTGCCATCAGATCAGTCATGATCCTACTGACTGGCAGAGTGGGCTTAACGTGTCAAACTACCTACTCCTGCTGCTACTTCTTATGCTCTTTTGTTGATTTGCACAAAATTAAAATCTGAAAAAAAATTACAATGAAATCTGCTAATGTACGCTCAACACCCCACCCAAAGATACACCAGTAACTCATGCTGGACATTGTATTAAGACCTAGTTAGTGATTCAAGTACTTTTGTACTTGCAATGCATCTCTTTATATGCGCAGATGTTGGTCATCTTTAAACAAACTCAAAACAATGGAACTGACTAGACATTTCACACCAGTGACCTCCTCCTTACCCTAACTTGTGTGGAAGAAAGGCAGCCTGACAACAAAAACATTGAACTGTTACAATCTTTTGGATTCCAAACATAGCTGAATTCATTCCAGTTTGAGAGAATGAACACTAATTCAGCTTCACTGCTTTGCTCCTACAAAAATGATCAAGACATATTTATATGGGCAAGCTGCAGCATTTGATTGCAAAGAAGTTATAACTTCAAAAATGCACAAGTATAAAAAAAACACATCTTGCAGCCTTGGACTCACTTTAAGAGTGAAACAGAAAGAACCCTTTTCAGAACAGCAGCTAGCAATAAATTCTTATCTACACTGTCTTAGGACATTACTGTGGTTCAAGTACTCGACATCAAGATTTAGATCTTAAGCTGAAATTCACGAGTACATTAAAACAATTCTGCACATTTCAATGTTCAATCTTCAAGCGCAAGATCCGAATAGTAGTATGCCTCACGACATGCTCAAAATCCATTTAAGTGTACAAGTTACTTCACTGTGTTCCATATTTAAAAAGCTAAGTCACGGTAACACAATATATAAATCTCTCTTTTCATGAGCCAGATTATTCAGTGGAACTACAAGACATTTCACTGATTCTTTTGCTTATCCATAAACAAAGCATCCAAGAGTGTCCTGTAAACCATATTGCAGAGCTTAAATATTGGCAATCTATTAACTTTAAGTGAGTAATATGATCACTCACCTGCTATCTGTATCTAGGCCTACAAAATCTTTCTTTTCAAATGGCACACACAGTAATTGAATTTTGTCTCCTGATTTATCCGTTGCTCTGTCAAGACGTTTGGATTCCAAAACAATGAATAATGATTCAATAAAGTCTTCCACTTTCTTCTCTATGGTTTCACATTCATCGTAACTAGAATAAAATGCAACATCAGTGCGAGGTTGCTCAGCAATTTCCCCCTGTAGTCCAAAGACAAATAACCTCGAATCATACAGTGTAGAACCATAAATTTCTTTCTGCAGATGAAATTTCTCTGATGTCTGTGGCCAATCCTTTGCATTACAACACTGTGTGATAGCTATTAACCCTACAACCTTCCGATGAGTCTGAAAGTCTCCCCATTCATTATTTTCAGGAGGATAATGGTGTCTGTAACGAATATATAGAACTCGTTGTGAATCTCGAAGATTAATCTGATTGGCAGAAGTTATTATTTTGTAAATCTTGAAGAATTGTTCTTCTGGTACAATTCCCACAGGTTGCACAATGACCAAAAGACTCTGGTGGTCCTCAGCACACTGCATATAGTCAGGGACACTCATTCTCCATCAAATGAAATCTGATTCATGAGAAAAAGAAATGCAACAATTACACATACAATGTCAATAACATTATTTATACAATGGTTAACTCTAAACAAAGTGAAACAAAAACAAATTGCTGGAAATGCTCAAGTCTGGCGGCATCAGTGGAGAGAAATCAGAGTTAACGTTTTGGGTCGAATGACCCTTCCCCAGAACTCTATCCGCAATGCTAACTGATTTCTCTCCAGATGTTGCCAGACCTGCTGAGCTGATCCAGCAACTTGTTTTTGTTTCTGATTTACAGCATCCACAGCTTTTTTTTTGTTTTTACAATTAAAGTGAAATGTTTAAATCAAATTATATGAGAATACTAAAGGAACAAAAAAATGCTGTCCTGTTAGAGAAATTAAAATAAATAAGTTCAAATAATACAACGCAACACACTCAAAAGGGAAAAAAATTTGAAATTGGAAGGCAACTATATTTCAGGAATCTCATCAAAACCACAATAATCAAATCTCTTACTTCTGCAAAACTTAAATTCAATGCATACTTTCAAAGTTTATGCCATTATTTGAAACATTTAAATGAAACACTTACAATATCACCTTCATAGCATTCACACGGGTGTCATGACTTCAAATATTTCTCATGTTGTCTGTACTATTTTTAAAGATCATAATTTGTCTCAACCTCAGTAACAAATGTACGGTCATTCTTCAGTCACATACCTCGCTTGAAGACTTTTAAATACTTTCTTAACCTTAGTGCCCTAACCCAATTCAGCAGGTTGTGCATTCAAGTCCCACTTCAGAGATTCAAATTAATTAATCCAGTCTTTCACTTCAGAGATAGCAATTTTCACTTGCAACATGAAAACGTGATCCCAACTATCTGTTCAGGTGATTATCATAGAAAACCAGACTTCCTTCCATCGACTATCTACAATTTCTGCTGCCTCAGGAAAGCAGCCAACAAAAGACCCCTCTCACCTCGGTCGTACTCTTTTCCATCGGGCCGAAGATACACAAGTTTGAAAACATGTACCAACATGCTGTTGTTAACAGACTTATGAACGGAACTCTCATATTAGACATGATCTTACTCTGCGCTACCTCTGCAGCTGCAATACTATATTTTTTATTCTGTTCTATTACCTTGATGTAGTTATGAAAGGTAAAATTTCTCTGGATAGCACACAAAACAATACTTTGCACTGTATCTCGGACAATAATAAGTCAAATCACTGGTCAGCCCAAGCCTGAAGATCTGAATACAGGTCTTGCGGCAGTTGGACATTGACTGCTTCAGCATCACAGGAGCTATGAATGATTTTGAACTTTATACAAATATCTGTGAACATTCCCACCTCTGACCGTATGATGGAAGGAAGGTCATTGATGAAGCAGCCAAAGATCAATGGGCCTAGGACAATACCTTGAGGAACTCAGGAGCCTTCCTGTGGCACAATGGCAGTGTCCCTACCTCTGGACCGGAGCATAGGCTCAAGTCCCACCTGTTCCACAGGTGTGTAATAACATCTCTGAACTGGTGATGAGTTTTTCTTAAATTACCGAGGAACTAGGGCTCTTCTGGCACAGTGGTAGCATCCCTACGTCTGGGCTCGGAGGCCTAGGTTCACATCCTAATTGCTCTAGTGGTATTATCATGACATATCTGAGCAAGTTGATTAAAAAAAAACTATCCTGAGGAACTACAGAGATGTTCTGGCACTGAGTTAACCAACCTCTCATAGCCACATTCATCTCTCTTTAGGCAGGGTATGAATTCAACCAGTTTCCCCCGATTCTTCTTGACTCCAATTTTGCTCCTTGATGCCACAATCAGTCAAATGTATTGTCAGTCATGATGTGAAGGATAATCACTCCCACCTCACCTCCTGAGTTCAGGTCTTTTGTCAATGTTTGGACCAAGGCTGTAATGAGGTCAGGAACCGAGTGACTCTGGTGTAACCCAAACTGAGCATCAGGTGAGCATATTATTGCTAAGCAAATACTGCTGGAGAGCATTGTTGATCACTTGCATTACTTCGTTAATGATAGAGTAAACTGATGCAATGATAATTAGCTGGATTCAACTTATCCTGCTTTGTGTGGACAGGACATACCATAGCAAATTTTTCCATGTTGTCAAGTAGTTGTTGGTGTAATGACTGCATTGGAAATCTGTATGACGATGACAAATTCTGGAATGTTGCTAAGGCCCATAACCTTGACAGTGCCTTCAGCCATTTCTTAATATCATGTAGAGTTAGCTGAAGACTGCCCTCTTTGATGCTGAATGCCTCTGAAGTAGGTCAAAATGCATCATTACTATGCACTTCTGGCTAAAAAGAGTGTTGTAAATGCTTCGGGCAGGCTCCCATCATTCAGTATATGTGGAACCACCCCTTCCAATGATGTGTTTAATTGTCCACTGGCATGGTGGCCCAGCGGTTAGCACTGCTGCCTCACAGCTCCAGGGACCCGAGTTCAATTCTATCCTCAGACAACTGCCTTTGAGGAGTTCTGTGTCTGTGCGGTTTCCTCCAGATGCCCTGGTTTCCTTCCATACTCCAAAGATGTGCAAGTTAGCTGGACGGGCCCTGTTAAATTGCCTGCATGTATCCAGAGATGTGCAGACTAGGTGGATTAGCCATGCGAAGTGCAGAGTTACAGGGAGAGCCTCTACCCTATCCCTGTAACTCTGCACTTCCTTAGGCTAATCTCCAATCATTGCTCTTAACTCAAGTGTCTCACCCCAGAACCATTCTCAAAGCGCTTCTGAATTCTTTCCAATGTATTCATATCGTACCCAAAAATGTGCATAATACTCCAGGTGATGTCTAACGTGATTTTTCAAGCTCAGGATAACCATCCTACAGTTGTACCCTATACAACTATTTCTGAAGCCAAGAATCCTGTATTCCTTATAAACGGAATTAACTATCCTACCACATTCATCACCGTATGCACATATGCACCCAGATCTCACTGTTCCTGCAGGACCTTTAGAATAGGGATGATGGTAATATGCTAACATTGATTGAGAACCGATTGACACAACAGGAAAGAGTGTGTGGGAACAAGTGGATATTTTTCTAAATGACAGTGACTACTGGGATACCAACACGATCAGTACTTGGGCCCCAGCTGTTCACAATATACAAAAAAATGACCTGCATAAGGAAATTAAATGCATTGCTTCCAAGTTTGATGATGACAAAAATGGTCAAGGTGGAGAGTTGAGGAGGCAACAAGGACATGTCAAGGTATTCTGGACAAGTTCAGTGAGTGGGTAAACACATGGCAGATGCAAATGCAATGTGGCTAATTGTGAAATTATACATTTTTGTGTGAAAAACAAAGGAAGAATATCATTTTAAATCACAATATATTGGGAAGTGTGATTGTACAAAGGGATCTGGGTGTCCTTGTACATCAGTCAATGAAAGTAGACAGGCAAGTGCAACAAGTAATTAGGAAGGTAAATGGTATATTACCTTTCACTGCAGGAGGATTTGAGTTCAGGAGTAGGGATATCTTATTGCAGCTTACAGGGCTTTGTCAAGGCCATACCTAGAGTACTACACGTAATTTTGGCCTCTCAACTGAAGAAAGGATCTTGCAGTCAGGACAGTGCAGTGACAGTTCAATCAGCGACAGTTCAATCAGCTGATACTGGGGATAGCAGGACTGATCTAGCCTGGATACACTAGAGTTTAAAAGGATGGAAGAGGATTTGATACGAATGCTTAAAATTCTAATAGGGCTGCAAAGACGAGAAGCAGAGAGAATGTTTTCTCTAGCTGTGGAGTCTGAAACTGGGGGACCGTCTCAGGGTGTGGGTAGGCATTTAGGACTGAGATGAAGAAATATTTCTTCACTTAAAAGGGTAGTTAACTTGTGCAAATTTCTACCAAAGAATGCCTTGGAAGCCAAGTCACTGAATATACCTCAAGGTACACAAATTCTAGATTTTAAAAGGCATCAAGGGGTCTGAGAAGGAAGCAGGAATACAGTATTGAAGTAGGAGGATTGGCCATGATCCTACTGAATGGTAAAGCAGGCTCAAGTGGCCTATCCTGCTCCTAGTCTCCATGGAACAACGCTATTTTATACCATCTCTCCATGCTCTTTGCACCAATATCCATCACCTCAGTGCACACTGAACTTGATCTGCCACCTACTGCACACTCCATCAATGTGGCAATGTCTTTTTCAAATTCTACACTGCCCTCAATTTACAATTTTCCCATTATGTCATCCACAAAAAATACAATTGCCCCCCACACATCAAGATCAAAATCAATTTATATCATAATGTATTGATATATCAGGAAAAGCAAGGTTTCCAACATGAAGATCTGGGGGTTTATAAAGCTGGGAAGCATCCATAACCCATCAGAGTTGATTTTAATACTTCAGTGATCAGATGAACTGTCCTTGCACACACATTAAAATAAATGATCATTTGACCCATTTCCTGAATTTCCTATCATTTGTCAAGTTGTACATCAACAGCAGCAAATAAAAAGTAACCCAAGAGGCTTTTATAAACACAAAGTTATAATAGAATAAAGGAAGGTTGGAGCTAAGAAAACAAAAAGAGATCCTCGTGTAAACAGAGGACACATCTGAGATACTAAATGTGCACTTTGCATTCATCCTCAGTATAGGAAAAGAAAATTGTGGGTAAATTCAAATAGATATAAAAGAAAAATGATATAGAGGAGGTATCTGAAATGTAGGCTGTACTCAAAGTAGCTCACAAATCCGGACAGGATACATCCTTGTTTACTGAGTCAAGTTAAGGATGGAAATTGTGAAGGCCCTGACCACAAATCCTCTTTAGATTTTGAAGAAGTTGGGGGTTGGTTTCAAGGAATTGAAAGATTGCACAAGTTAGATATGGCATAAATCCAGCAACTACAGACCAAATCAGATAGACATCAGTGGTGGAGGCACTTTTAACAGCAACAAATCAAAATAATTGGCACTTGGAAAAATCAGATAATAAACGAAAGCCAGCGTAA